GAGGCCGGAGGCGGGCGGGCGGCCACGGCCACAGTCACACTGCCCTGCCCGCTCGCGGGTCACAGTTCTTCGTGCAGACATTCCCAGTGGTGGAGGAGCACGTGCGCAGATCCATGGGGGAGGAACTATACCAGCTCTTCCTCGTAAGTGTCCTGCCTGCCTGGGACATAGTGGTGTCACCACACTGGCCCCACACATAGAATGGTCCTTGCCAACCCTGCAGGAGGTGCTGCTCTCACTTGGGCTTCTCTACCCCCAGACTGCTGCTCCCCTCCATCACCCACTTCCTGCAGGACCCCTGTGCCCAAGTCCTGACCTGCAACCACAGCTGGTTTCCCTCACTCCTCAGAGCTATGGTGAAGACTTGTACATGAAAATAGACAGCATTCAGGCGGACATCCTGGCAGTCAACGAGGTCAATGTTGCCCAAGGTGAGCAGGGAGGGCTGGGACGCGGAGGCTGGCATGCCTAGCACCCCAGCTCATGCTCCTTCCCCCTCTGCCGCAGCATTAGACCCCTATGACATCTCCAACAGCAACTTGAGCTTCTTCTGTGGCCCTGGGAATCCCGATCAGATGGCCTATGCCACACACTTCCAGAAAGACGATGCAGAATCAAAAAAGTGACAGAGCTTCAGGAAGGGCAAGGCTGGGCGGGGCGGGGGGGTGAGGCCTGGGTGAGGCCCCAAGGCTATTCCACCCAGCCCCAGTGGAAGGCTGGGGTTAGGCCTGCAGTGGGGCAGAAGAACAGCGGATGGGAAAGAGTCCAATAAACAGTCTTGCTTCTTATCTGTCTGAGCTGAGTGCTGTGTGAAGGAGGAAGGGAGAGCTATGGGGTTAGGTTGAGGTACCTCTGTTTACCAAGTTAAAAAAGTAGGTCCTGGGCTGGGTGTGGTGGCACACACGTGTAATCCCAGCACTGGGGAGGCTGAGGCAGGAGAATCACCAAGAATTCAAGGCCAGTGTGGACTACATAGCCAGACACTATTTAAAAAAAAGTGATACTCAGGGAAAGGTCATTAACACCCTGGAAAATTCAAGGGTATAGCCTGAATATAGAGCTCACCTGAGTTCCCAGAGAGCCCCCAGGTTTTCCTACAAGACACCATGGCCACTTAGGTTTTTTTCCTACCTCCCTGGTATTACAAATGTGCCACTAGAACCACTATATTTTTATAGCATTGTTCTGTTAGTCACCTTTACTTATTCTTTGTCTTCACCTGACTGTAAGCCCCACTAGGGCAAACACGCAGGATAATGCCTGGTATGCATAAAAGGCCTAGCCGTTTAATGAAATTAAGCAGAGGAAATGAAGTCAGATGGCCGTATTTCTTCAGGATGCTGTAAGAGGGCGTCGCTAGCCCAAATGTCGGCCTACAGCAGCCCAAACGCTCTTCACAAACTGATAGTCCTCAGCTTTCCTCCTCTCTACTGAGAAGGAAGAAAAAAAGTTAACGTTTTCTATCCAACTAACTGGCTTTCCTATTTTAATGAAGTATGCTGCTAGGAGTATATATAGCTGAGTGGTAAAAAGCTTGCCTAGCATACATGAGGTCTTGCATTCCAGCCCCAGAGCCACAAAAAATGTGTAATAACCAATTGCAGTAATTTTTTTGCCTCGCTGCTACCTCAGAAAGGATTGGTTGGTGGTGCTGAGTTCACCACTGAGCTTCGTTTTCTTAAATAATTAATGCGCTCTGCGACAATCTCACTCTTTCAAGTGCGGGTGAACTACACCACCAAGACATCACTATACTTTCCTAAAAATAAATGTTGCAAACGCCATCTCACATAACAAACGCACATTACGTGTGTACTCTTCAAGCCCAATGAACGTACTTTCACTGGTTTTAACCAACTCAGTAACTGATTCTTTTAGATGAAAGGGTAAAACCAACCTAGAATACGAGTTCTGATCAAAACCATCCACATACTAAAACTTTTGTATCAAAAAAAAATTCCTGTATCAACTGAAATAGCTAAGAAAAAATAGCTAAAACACTCAGTTGGTGTAACTAGAAAGTTACTACCACGACGAAAGCACAAGCAGCCACTTTTATACTTTTAATTCTTCCTTTCTACAACCGTAATAGCCTTGCCAAAGCAAGGCCTCAAAAAATTGGGTTAAGACTCAGAATTGTTCCTCTCCACGGAAATCTTTAGTAAAAGGCGAAAGATTTATGCGATCTGAAGAGAAACCAGAGTATGAAGCAGACTTTGCAGACACAATCCTCGGGTAATTTTAACTACTAAGTCACCAATGGTAACTATTTACCCGAAGGAGTTGATACTTTTACTTTTATCATAAAACAACTTCGTGAAAGTAGGCTCATTCATTATTAAGGGGGAAGAAAGAAAAAGAGTCTCCCGTTTTAATTTAAGAAACGTCCCTTGTGCAATGCATTGTGGGTATGTAAATGACGCTGTGTGGCTAGTTTCCAATTTCTGGAAATCTTTACAATAGTTCGTTGGTTTTCCCGCTAGGCGCTGGCCCACCAGCAGGGGGCAGAGCGGAAGTCAGGTTTGCAGGAATGTAGACTAAACACCAAGTAAAAATTATCTTTAATTCAAAACAAAATAAAACAAAAAAGACTGCCTACTTGCCTGAGATTTCTGGGTTCGATCCCCTGCACCGCAAAAGAAAAAAAAAAGACAACAATGATTGTCTTCTGACACTCATTTAGCAAAAATGTCTTGAGCATTAGCGGTGCTTCCTCTTGGAGACAGGTACCTATGTGTGATGAGCACTGATAACAGAATGTCCAGTGATACAGGGGCCAAGCAGCAAAGTTTCTAAAGAAATAAAGCAGTGAGGGGGCCGGGGATTTAGCTCGGTGGTGCCGCCGCCTGCCTCGCAAGTGCAGCGTCCCGAGTTCGATCCCGATTACCAAAAATAGAAAAAAAACAAATGAGGCGGTGAGGGTGGTGTCTAGGCAGAGGCACCTGGACAGTGTGCACCAGTATAGAGCTAAATGGCAGGAACCGCGTCGTTTTGGCAGTGCTATACTGGGCTTTTAACCCAAGGCCTCATACAGGCAAGGCAAGCATAACACTGAATTACATCCTCAGCCTTTCTTTCTTCCTTCCATCCTCTTTTTTTTTTTTTTTTTTTTTGACAATACCTCATTAAATTGTTGAGTCTGGCTCAAATTTGTGATGCTCCTGCCTCAGCTTTCCAAGTAGCTGGGATTATATGCATATATCAACACATCCTGTCAGGGTCTTGGCCTTAGGCTGCCATGTGAACCAGAGAACTCACATTTACCTTGAAAGCAATCAAGAGCCATTGAAAGTTCTAAAAAAAAGGGAAGCAGATTAGCCATGGTTTTTCGTTGGTTTGTTTTGTTTTTTTTTTTTTTTTTTTTTTTTTTTTTTTTTTTTTTTTTGCTATGTAGTTCAGTCTGGCTTCGAACTCATGGCAGTCCTCCTGACTCAGCCTCCTAAATCCTGGGATTGCTGGCCTGTTTCCCCATGGCCAGTTTAGCCAAGATTTTTGTTTGTTTGCTTCCTTGCTTGTTTTTTGTTTGATTTTTCGGATTAGTGTTTTGAAGCAGCAGCAGGGGTGACCTGAGTTAGGGATGATTTGTGCCCTTCCCCAAAATGTCATGTGTTGAAGTCCTAAATCCCAGTAATTCAGAATATGAGTTTATTTTTAATAAAGTCATACCTTGGTATTTCATTGCTTTGAAAGTCATCAAATTTAGTACTAGACAAATTTTTGTCTGTTTTTTGAGACAGGGTCTCACTCATGTATCCCAGGCTGGCCTGGAACTCACCTTAAACTTTGCAGCAATCCTGCTGCCTCGGCCTCCCCAGTGCTGGGATTACAGGTGACTGCCACCACACCTGGCTGGTATTGGACAGGTTGTGTCCTGATGCTCATCACTTATTTGGTACTTGATGTGCAAGGTAGAACTTGTCTCTGTTGACATCCTCCTGACTCAAGCTTTTCTAGCCAAACTGTTTGTTTGGTCCTAGTCATTTTTGGTACCCATCTCACCTCCCAGAACAAATTAACATGTACTGGTGTAGCACTATAGGGCCACTGCAGATGTAATTTGCTGAGAGGAAGGACCTAGAACTATAAGAAAATAAACTTCTGTTTAAACCACCCAGTTTTTCTGGCCCAGAATGGAGGGTCGGTCATACAGATGGAAAAGGGATTTACCAACTGTCAAGATACATCAGAGAGCAGGAGTTTATTTAGAGGTTCTTTTCAGTGAACATGATCGCTTCTCCCTTTTCCGGTAAAACATGGCTAAAAGTTTACGAAGTGAAAAAGAAAAATGTGTGCTGAAAAGAGAAAAAAGAATGCCCCAAAGGAGCTCAACAGACTTAAAAATATTATCAAAGCAGACTGTGATGTTTTAAAGAAAGGTGTTCAGGAGATAGCAACTGTGGTGGTACCTAAACAATGCCCAGAAAAAATGGAGTGTGTGGCAAATTATGACGAAAAAGATGACATGAAAACGGAGATTGAGATAAAGAGAAACAAAAAGACTCTTCTACACCAGAATGGATAGTACCCAGTATGGATGAACCAGTGGCAGAGAAAAAGGCTGAAGGCAAAACGAGACAGGAGAAAGGGGAAAAGCAAAGCAAAAGCAGCAAAGGCACCAAAGGGTTTGGCCTGGTAGACCCTGAAAAATTTAGAAATGCCACGTGGGACAAATGCTTGATTAGAGAGCACACGTTGGCCAGGGATTTAGCTCAGCGGTTCGGCGGCCTGCCTTGCAAGCGCAAGGACCCGAGTTCAATCCCCGGTATCAAAAAAAGAAAGCACACATTGATTTCAGCTCCCACTAAATGAAACTGTTTCTGTTCGTATTTTAACTTGGCCTTTTTTCACTTGAAATTCAAAATAATTAATTTGTTTTGGGAAGTTAAAATAATTTCTTAGGATTAAAAGAAGAGTTTATTTAGATCAGAGGACACTGTCAAGAGGGACAGCAGGCAAGTTTCCAAAACAGCAATCTTGCAGTCAGGGTTAGAGATTGGGGTTTTCACAAGACATTGAAGGCGTGGCAAATGTTCCCAGCAAATCTAGAGGTCCCAGGAATGTTTCTTCCAGGACGCCTGTTTCTGCTGACCTTTTAGAAGTGCCTTTACTATTTTTAAAGTTGTACACTAAAACTAAACTGTCTAGGCCTCTAGTGAGGGCCTCACAAAAGGCCCTTCAGGCTTAGATAAGGATGTCCACGTGCTGTAATTTTGGGGTAATTTTGAGCATTAGCTCACTGGAAGGAAAGAATGGTTTCTGCATTTATTTTTACTTTGTATTGTTTCTAGTCAGCATCTGCACAGCACCTCAGGACTGCCCGGTAAGTGCTAGGCATGATTGTATCAGCAGAGAAATTTAACCCTGTATCACAGGTCTGTGGAACGGATCTAATAAAACACCTGGGTCCTCAGAGTAGATCGGTTAGAAACTCTTGAGGTGGGGCCAGCAAGCCAAGTTCTAACCGAGTGTGCCAGCCAATTGGACATGGGCATAGGGCACAGGAGACAACTCTGCGACTCCAAAAACCGTATTCTGCCACCATGGACCACTCCACCATCAGCCTCCAGAGGCCACGAACAAATGTACTGCCCAGGTGTCTATGACAGCTGTGGGGACACAGCAGCACCTCCAAGACAAGTGTGACAACTCTCCCATGTCCATGGACATGAATTACACACAGGTACCAGCTAGCGTGGCCAGGTCTTTGGCCTGGTGGCCATTTTTGGTGTTGTGCTGGAGTGCTGGTACTCAGGAGACAAGT